GGAAACCTGCCCTTTCGGTTTCTGAGATTGTAAATCTTGACAGGAAAGAACGGCCTCATCTTTGTCACAAGGAGTGGCTGGTGGGCTTGAACAGGGGACCTTGAAGTTAGCAACTCAATGCATAGCCCACTCTGCCACCAGGGCTCCTTGCCCCATTCTGTTGGAAAAGTCAGAAATAGCTCCTGGCATTGCCAAATGTTTCCTGAGAACGAAGTTGCACCTTTACTGAGAACCACTAGACTAGGTCTGTTATGCAAATCACATGCAAACCAGAGTGCCTAGAGGCCACACCCACCACCCATCTGTGGGCTGGTCTCACTGGGCTGCCCTGCAATGGTACTGGATGTGATGTCTCCCATCTTTCAAATACCAACAGGCTTTAGTAGCGCTCCGAATGACGAGAGGCCAGGTAGACAGACCTGGTTTAAACAAACTAGCTAATGGCAAGCTTGTGGATCCCGATAGACTACTGCCCAGCACAGCGCTGGGAAGGAGCCCGCCAGGTTGGAAGTCAGGAACAGGGGGGACATGGTCAGGGGGCACAGTGGCAGTGGGCGCCCACCTCAGTCAGAAGAGGCTGTAAAACTCCACCAGCTCCGCCCAGCTTCTCCAGGACTGGGCAGCCCCGGGAAAGCCCTGGGAACCAACACGCCAGCGGAGGGAAGAAAACTAGGTTTGAAACAAAAAAGACATCCCTCAACCGCAGGCACTTTCACAAGGAGTACAAAGAAAAAGACAAAAAGCAAGCAATCATGAACGCAAGGCTGGGAGCGCAGGGTTTTTCTCGGCGTTTCACTGTGGAATCTCCAAAGTACACTCAAGAGGAGCCAGGGCTCGTCATGAACCCCACGCAGCCACCACCCAGCGAAAGGGCCGGCAGCCTTCGCCATCCTGTGTGCCATGCTCCCGCCCCTTCCTTCTTCCTGTTTCCTTTTTCTCTTTCCTTTCTCTGTTTTCTTTTTCCCCTCATTTTCCACCTTCTTTCCTTTTTTTATATAATGTGGAAGAGAGAATTTTATATCGAAACATAAGTATGTATCAATACATAAGTATGTATCAAGTCCATAAGTCCGATATCAGCCCCATGTCCGATACCAGTCCATAAATTCTTCTCCAGACTCACGCAGCACATGCAACGATGCTGAAAGCAGGAAGACCTCAGGCCAGTGGGTGGAAAGTCTTGTGGAAGCATCTCAGCGCTGGCGCGGCTCTCCAC